AGAGCTGTTGGGTGGGTTCAAACCACCAGCCTTTTAGTTAGCAGTCAGGAGCTTAACCACTGAGTAACCGGGGCTCCTTGACTCACCTATGCATTAGAAACTTTATCATATCATATCCCACATTCTTAAGATTCAATCAGGATCATGAATAATTAAGAATTATTGAATGATGAATAATTATGAATAATCTTAATTAAGAGAGCAAAATAGCAACTCTAGAAACTTAGACTTAGCAACTCATTCATCAAACCTTCTAAGATTATAAATCTACTCTTGGTTTTTTGATCTAGGGTAAAATACTCTCCCAAGTGTGAAGGTATATGTGGACAAAATGAATTTTAAAGAAATATACAATTTGGTGTAGAAATTTAATTACATAAATCACAAAGTTTAGCAGGTTACATTTACATTAGACTATGTCAATACACCTATATATGTATACAGGAGCCCTCGTGGCATTGTGGTTACATGAGCTATGACCCAAAAGATCAGCAGTTCAAAATCACGAGCTTCTCCTTGGGAGAAAGAGCTCTCGAATCTTGGAAACCCACAGGGGCAGTTCTACCTTGTTGTAGGGTCGCTGAAAGCCGGCATCAACTCAATGACAGTGAATTTGGTTTGGGGATTTTTTATTAGGTATACATATGCTAAGACAACAAGGCAAAAGATCAACATATTCTTACAATAAAGGTCATTCATAGTGAAACACTTGCCTGATTAATAGCAAAAAATATGCTCTCATAGACATCCTCTTGAGTATACACACTGCAACTGTAGTCATCTTCATCTGTGCCAGAATATCCTTTCAAAAACAAGTGCTTAAAAGCAACAGTGGTGTCTTCTTTGAAAGCAACCACCAACTGGTTACTTAACCCAAAACGAACAAGCTAGAAAAGAAAATTAAATAGGAATGTAAGAATTTTACCCCTTACGAAATAAGGCAAGATTCCTTAGCATAAGGAATACCAACATTTTTACTTCTCATATGCCCTCTGCTCCCACTCAATTTGAAACAATCTCATCTGTAAACACCAGCAAAAAAGGTCTTCTTTGGTTTTTATCAATAGCATAAGTGTCAGGGGGGAAAAAAAGCTCAATTGCTAAAATGGCCTCATTAAGTACATCAGGAACTAAAAATAACATAAAAGTTGCAAAAATTACCACTCCCACTGACTAAGACTCTGCTTGACTAAAGGAAAGAAGAACCCTCAGATGTTTACTTATGTTTCGTTTACTGTTCAAAGGATTTGTGTGGCTCAGAATTCGAGGACACTTGATTGTACGCATGTGGAACCTGTACATAGATCAAGGGGCAGTTGTAGAACAGAAAAAGGGGACACTGAATGGTTTAACATCAAAAAAGGGTATGCCTCAGGTTTGCATCCTTTCACATTTTACCTGCATCCGCAAACAATGTTCATGGAAGTAGCATTTAAGATATCAAACAAAATACTAGGTGAATGTGCTCATCAGGACCCGTGTTAACACCCAATTCAGAGAAGGCTATGGAGGACAATGGGAGTGTTATCTAGTCAGATGGAGCACTGGCAGATGCACTCTAGCCAAAGGCAAGAGCCCCCAACAGACTATCAGGCAAAGATCATTGTGATCCTGACTATTGGGGATCGAACTCAGTACCAGGCCAGTTGCCCTCCCTATAGATGCCACCTGAATTTGCACTACTGCAAGTATCTCTTAGCTGTCCCATGACAGAAAGTTCTTCCCTGGCTTTTTGAACACTGATGGGGTTTTATTTTTCCTTTTACACATCATTTGTATTTTTGCCTTTATACTAACATGATCTTACCACCTTAGTGCAATTTGTCTTTCATTGTTTTCTGCTGGGTTTCCCAGCTGTGAAACACAGGAGGAATGGAGGCATGATGAAAATAACTGTTACCAGGTGTTGTAGGGAAAGCAGAGGTGAGGGAGGCCAAAAGATAGTTTTTGGAATAGAACAAGGGGAGCTTTCGTGATTTAAATCCAAAAAGGTGTGTCAGAATTATAGCCTTTCACTACACCTGTTCAATCTACATGGTGAGCAGGTAATCTGAGAAATAGACTGTCTGAAGAAGAATGCCGAGTTAGAAGACTCTAACAAGCTGTGACATGTAGGTAACACAAGCTTGAATGCTGAAAGCAAAGAGGACTTGAAGCATTTACTGATGAAGATCAGAGAATACAGCCTTCAGTATGGATTACTCCTCAACATAGTTTTTTAGGGGCTCATACAACTCTTATCACAATCCATACATGCATTAATTGTGTAAAGCACATTTGTACATTCTTTGCCCTCATCAATCTCAAAACACTTGCTCTCCACTTAAGCCCCTGGCATCAGCTCCTCATTTTCCCCTCTCCCTTCCCGCTTCCCCCTCCCTCACGAACCCTAGATAATTTATAAATTACTATTTTGTCATATCTTGCACTGTCCAACGTCTCCCTTCACCCATGTTTCTGTTGTCCGTGCCCCAGGGAGGAGGTCACATGTAGATCCTTATCAACATAATGCTTTTAAAGTCTTCACAAATCGCTCAAAAAGCAACATGGTGATAAAGGAGGAGACGTTTGAAGTTGCCACGGGTTTCACTTTACTTGGACCCTCCATCAATGCCCAGGGAAGCAGCAGTCAAAAGTCCAAACGAACTATGGGACACGCATTTGGCGAATCTGCTACAAAAAGGCCTCTTTGAAGTGTTACAAGAAACAGATGTCACTTTGAGGACTAGGGAATGCCTGACCCCAGCCAGACATGATATTATCAAGCACCACATATGCATGAGAAAGCCTGATAATGAGTAAGAAAGCCCAAAGAAGAACTGAGGCATTTGAATGACACCAGTGAGTATTGAATAAACCACGGACAGCCAAAAGAATGAACAGCTCTGTCTTGGAAGTAGTACAGCCCACAATCCAGAATGCTCCCTAGAAGCAATGACGAGACGTCTCAAGTACTGTGGCAGGACCCGTTCTTGGAGAAGGACATTGTGTTTGATAAAGTGAAAACGAGGAAGAGCCTCAATAAGACTGATAGTGAGGCTGGCAAAGGCCCTAACAGCAGCAGCAGCAGCAAATTGTCAAAGTCACCACCATCTAGACTGGACTTCAAAGCTGTCTTTAGTGTGCTATACCAACACTGTACTTTGGGGCAGTAAGGGGGGCGGGAGAGTGGATTTACCTTTAGGCAGAAAAGAATTGAAGGGCTGGTTTTCCAGAAGGGTGCAAGGCCACCATTGTTTCAGAATGCACAGATTAGCACTTGAGCCTCACCATGTCACGTTCCTCCGATTCCAAGTCGAGGACTGAGCGAGTGTGAAACCATAACTATTCTAAGAAAGCCATCTAGCAACGGCTCCCAGTCATCCGAAGAGTGCTGGAAGCCACGCCCAGCAAGCTGCAGCTTCTTCTGAGTGCGTGATGTCTATCTTCCAAGGGCGCCTGTAGGAGGGCCTAGAAAAGGTGATGCTCCATTTGGAAAGTAAACCAGGGATTAACATGCCCATGGTTCTTTTGACATTTTATTAAACATACCAATGCACTGTTTAAAATTGGCACATGCAGGTGGAGTAAGTTCTTTAACCACGTTTAATGAGTGCTTACTCCGTGCAAAGCAGGGCTCCGAGGATGGGCACGGTCAGCACAACATGCTGTTGGTGTGTCCTAGGCATTGTGATAAGAAGTGTATAGTGAGCGCGCCCTGTTGTCACAGTGGTTATGTGTTGGACTGTACTCTGAAAAGTCAGCAGTTCAAAACCACCAGTTTCTCCCAGGGAAGACAAGGCTTTCAACACCTGTAAGAATTACAATCTCAGAAACTCAGTGGCAGTTCTACCCGTCCTAGAGGGTGGCTATGAGTTGGCATCGACTGGATGGCACTGAGTGAGGGAAAGTATTTCACTCGTGATATTTTGGGGTGGGGGTTGTGAAGGGAAGCTGGTATCAAGGAGTTCAAGAAGGAAGAGAAGGTTTCAAAACCGACTGTGGTAGCAATTATACAATACTACTTGATGTGATTCACTGTGGACTGAAATGATATCTGCAATATCCCCAAAAAATGGTTTTGAGGAAAAAAGTTTAGAATTTTTTTCCAACAAATTCTTCCATACATTCTGAAATGTGCCAAGCTCCAGAATGACAGGTTGGTTTTCTTCTCCCTCTTTTTTTCTTTCTACACATATACCTGGAGAGACCTGGGGGCATAGTGGTTACACTCGTTGGACTGCTAACTGCAAGGTCAGCAGTTCCAAGGCACCAGCCGCTCCTCTGGAGAAAGAGGAGGCTTTCTACTCCTGTAAAGAGTCACAGTCTCTGAAAGCCGCAGGGCAGTTCTGTTCAACGCTGCAGGGTCTCTAAGAGTCACAACGACTCAGCGAGTTAGGTTTGGGTTTCTACAGTCTCAGGAATTGAACTAGTGCCCAATATAGTATTGGAGTCGACAGCTGAATCAATCGATGGACATAATCCTATTTAATATATTTGTAAACTGAGGTCAAGCAATTCTTTCAAATTCAAACAGCTAGAACGAATGTAAGCCAGGATCTGAACCCAGATCTAGAGCCTGTTCTCTTAATTACTTTGAGAAGCCCCACTGCTACTCAAACAGAAACGCTGCCAAAGTAACACTGTAAAAAAGGATATTAAACCCATTGCTCCACACTGGCATGTAAGCTATAGACTCATCCAAAAAACCTGAACAGGAATGGGTAGATTTACTAAGATAGTAGCAGACAGCTTGCTGATGTTTCAAACCATTACCTTGCTTAAGCTAAAAATTCACCAACTCAACTTTGGGGATCAGAATGTGTGCATTGGTAGTATTACTTTAGAATACTCTTCATCAGGTATCAGGGACCAAAAAAAAAAAATCTTATATCCTATGGTTCCTAGTGCAAGCCATGATCCACACGTGTGATCCAGCATCATCTAGGGCAGTGGGTCTCACCCTTCCTAATGCTGTGACCCTTTAATACAGTTCCTCATGTTGTAGTGACCCCCCAAACCATAAAATTATTTTCATTTCTACTTCATCACTGTAATTTTGCTAGTGTTATGAATCAGGCGACCCCTGTGAAAGGGTGGTTTGATCCCCCCAAAGGGGTCACGACCCACAGGTTGAGAACCACTGAACAAGGGGTTGAAGCAACAAAAATATGGGGTTTTTCAAAGTATCTTTTAGTAGGGAAGACAAACCAGGGAGAAAATCCTTGCTATAGAAGAACCAAACACTCCCTGCAGAGCAAAAATAAGGAGAAAGGGGCTTTGGTAAAATGAGTTTATTTTTAAAGAGGAATTGACAGCAAAATACATCTGAACCCCTCTAACTACTAGACCTTAATTTTCCTGAGGACATGATAAAAGACAGAAGAATTACACATGGAGTGCAGTCTGGCACAGACTGTGAAGACTGGGTTACAAAGTCCATGTAGGAGAAAAATTTCTGTACCAGGGGAAACATGATACCACTCTGATTATGTACAAGAATCTGGGAAGGAACGTGTAGAATGAGTATAAAAACAGACACCTCCCTTAAGATTATAAATTACTACAGAATGTGGAAAGGAAGATGTTTAAATAAACATTTCCCTCTCATTGATCCTAGATAAAAAGCCAACCATCCTGTTAGACTTCAAGGTAGAACACTAACGAGGCAGAAGAGGAGGAGGCAGAGAAAGTGGAATTTGAAGGGTGGGAAAGATGCTCCAGAAAACTGACCCCAAATTAAGAAAGCACTCAAGCGGCGAGTTTTGTTGGACTGATCCTCCAGGAACGCGAATGTTTCATCTCTCCCACGCCGGCCCTGGCTAAAAGGATGGGCCGTCTTTGAAGCAGGAGAGAAGAGAGACCCCCCAAGGACCTTGGAAGAGCACGTTCAAGATCTCTGTCTGAGGTGACCTCAAGCCCAGCTGCATCAGAGCATTGGCCAGAGACTCAAGAGGAGCAGAATCTAGACTACAGGGTACCTGCTCCTCACCTGACCTAACGGTGAACTGTGGGACAGCGTGACATGCAGACTGCCTTCCTGACCCATGGAGGTAAAGGCCATGGTACCACGTGGCTGAGAGACTGAAGAGAGCAGAAAGACTTGGCTTCCATGTGGCTGAGAGGCTGAGACTTGGCTGCTGGCTGAGGAGACCGCTGATCCTGCTGATTCTGACTTGTGGCAACCTATTGACTTCCCTAATAAACTCACTCATTGTCCCTTAATATTATTGTTTGTGGGTTCTCTGTGGCCAATGCAATGAGTTATCC